TTTTATTTGACATCAAGGTGTATGCCGTGCCTCCAAGCTTTCTTATTCGTTTTGCTAATAAACGTTCTATGTTTCTTAATTATTTGGTTATATTTTATACATGTTTACTCATTTCCAGTTTTGTATACCTATTTAAACTTTATGTAAGTTATTTTATTTTAGGCATAGTCTGACCTACAGCATGGTGTATTTTTATTCGTTATGTTAGTAAAAGTTCTATGTTTATGCCGCTATTTGAAAGTGAAAGTAAAATGCGCATGCCGCTTTTAAAAGCTATTTAAAAGCGAAGGAAAGTGAGGAAAAGAGGAAACACCCCTGCCACCACAGTGATACCGGTATTATCGGTGTTGTCACACGTCGATTAACCGGTGGGAAAATGTCCTCACCGTCACAACCTTACTCAAGATCTGCTGCCATTAATGCAAAAGGATGACAAACCACACACTACAACATTTTGAAATTCGTGTAAACTTTTCAGTTCAAATTTTTGCCAAATTCCTTTGCAGAAAAAAACACTTGCAATGGAAAAAGCTGTTTTAAATGAGAAAAATGCAAATGAGAAGCTTTGTCTCAAGTGGACTCTTTTGAACACCTTTGTACCGCGTTTTTTCAGATGTATTTCCAAGAAAAAAAACATCGTCTTATATTCGGGTCAATACGGTAGTATATTTTTGGCTGATTCCTAATTGACCAATCAGAAGTGTGCAGGACATTCTTGCCCACATCTCTTCTATACAAGAAAATATGCAACACATGAACAGGCCTCCATTTCATTCCATCAAAGTAATAAATAAAACATGCAAGAGTAAAGTCATATTATAATGCATGCAGGATTAGAAATGCTGTTCTCACCCTCCTTTCCCTAATATTAAGGATGGGGTTTCTGAAAGAGGTTTTCATTTTAGTAATATCTGATCCAAGAGACATACCCCTTTATCGATTCCCTCAACATACCTCATTCATCTCAGATGTATAATTAATACCTAAAAGTCAACAGTAAAAAGGTTTATGCCTGCTGTAATGGAGACTAAGTACATATAGAGATGATAGAGAGTAAACCATACACTGTACAGATGGTTTCTTTACATAGCAAGCTAATTTTTGCTTGTCCCCATCGTTGCTACCACAAACCTAAATTCATGGTCTTTTCTGGCAAATTACAACATTAAGATACAAATGATTATGTTTAAGGGATTGAAAATAAAGTTCATAGATTAAGTATACTTACCCTGTCAGGACCGACTGTAGTACTAGTAATCTACAGATCAGTTTTTAGACTTCAAAAGGCTTCGGAAATTAAACAAGGCCATAACTGAGATCTACACACACAAAGTTTGTCTCTCCACTCCATGGTCATGATTAGATTTCATTCATGGTGAGTTTAGGAGGAAGTGAAATCTTTTGGCGGAACATTTGTTTCCCGTCAAGCTTTTCTTGAATGCACACCGATGGGTTTGTTTTGGGAGCTGAGTAATTGTGAGGTCTCTTGGGTTTCGTGCCACAGCTGTGGCTGTAGGTTATCTTAGTAGTGCATCAACTTAGTTGTTGTCTTGCTTTCCTCTGTGTTGTGAATACCCCTCTAAACTAGCCCTGTCACCATAGTTACCCATCCTACATTTCTCTGGGGTAATGCAGTGCCACATTTGTGCGACGTAACCCCACTCCCAAGATGCATTTGGTGTAAAAACAAGCAGGGAGATGAGGGAGGAGAAACTTCGCATCTTGTCCTGAGGGGATGGTGATATACAATGACATGATTTGTGCATCCAATTGCCATTCTGTTTTACTTCCTTGCTATGCAATTGTAAAGTTAAAGAAATAGTTCAGCCAAAATTGAAAATGTTGTCATCAATTACTCGCCTTCATGTTGTTCAAACCTTTATGATTGACTTACTTACTTCTGTGAAACAGAAAAGAAGATTTTTTTTAAATTAAATTAATTTATTAGTTTATTTATTTATTTTTTAAATATGTTTGTTTTGTTTTTTCCCCCATTTATACAGTGATGGTCAGTGGGGACCCGTCACCCTACTGACTTTCATTATATGGACAAAAACAGAAAACATCCTTTAAAATCTGAAGAATGCCATACAGGTTTGCAAAAAGTGATTAAATGATGACAATTTACATTTTTGGGTAAGCTTTCCATTTAAATCTCACTGCACACTCAGCACTGATGCTCTGGCTTTCCTAAAAGGGCCTGATGCTCCTCATTTTTAATATGTGGATGAAAAGAACTGTGTTAGTTCTCTATCAGACAGTTGTAGGGCGTGGAACCGTTACTAAATTAAAAACCTGGCCTGGGGGTTTAAAATAAAGCAGAAAAAATTATGGTTTGCCACTGATTCCATATTTCTGTTTCTCTGAGAGGGATGTGGTTTAAGAGGAGGATCGCTGAAGGGTGTGGAGGACGCACAGACCAGAGAGTAGCAGTGCACAGGCCGCTAGGCCAAACTGTATTCCCACAGGACTGTAAGGGCTGTTTTCCGTGTGAGACTGATGGTTGAAGATCTTATTATTTTTCAGAAAATGTAGGACGACAAATACACCCAGATCTGTCAGAGCTAACGCAGTTGGTACACCCTGGGCCTCAAGTCTCTGGAGGCAAAGGGTTGGTTGGGCATCAGAGCTTCCAGAGCATCAAGGGATTGAGACACTGGGGAGAGTGACCCTCTGCTGGGATTTAGAGGGAACAGAGCAGACCTGTGACAGATTGTGCTCTTCAAACACAGCAGGCAGAAGCACAATGTTTGATTCAACGTTTCAATGTCTTTCCAGAGTTTAACTAGGTACCCAAAAGTACCTAGTTAACTATGTAAACAAAAAACTAAAATATCATGAAAAATCAGCTGTTCCTTAATTAAAAAAGAATTTAGTGCAGTATTGAATCATTGTATATTGGATTTTTTAGAATGCAAAGCGTCCTCCCTTCCAACAAAATTACCTCTTCAAAGATGCCTATTCTGTGTTCCGAAACATAATACTGTTATTCCTGAAAAGGACAAACGATAAGAGTAAAATGTGGAAATGCCTGTGCTGTTCCTGGCTGTGTGTAGCACCTACTGCTCGGCAGATTCTCCCGATGAGTCCCTGATAATTTCACTTTGACATGGTTGAGTGTCATATTTGATTATGAGAACCTGCCGCAGAATAATTGCACAATGCATTTCTATTCAAAAATCTGGCATTAAAAAAAGGGGCAGCACACAAGCTATGTTGCACCCAACATCAAACCTTTAGCCCATGTATAAGTGCAGCAAATTGTAGTGCAATTGTAAAGGTCAAAGACGAGGGAAAAATGGTTTTGATGCAAAAAATAGGGGATATCGAAAAAGAAAATATGTAGGGAGGGGTCTTCAATCCATCGGTTGTTTTTTCGGCTTTAAGATTTTGGCATTGCACTCAATATGTGGTGGCAGATGAATGAACTGTAAAGCTACAATGTTTGGATTTATGTGAACTTTACTAAAACCTAAATAAAAATAAATTACAGCTGAATAGAAATATCTAAATAAACCTAATAACTGACAAAAGGTAAAATGAAAATAAATAAATAAATGAATAAATAATAAAACACATGCATGGAATCATCCACAACAAGAGCATTTAAAAATGTGAGAAATTTAATTTCATGCCAACTGTGAAAAAAACCCCCAAAAAACCAAAACATGATATGACCCATTTAAGCCTAGTGTGTTGCTCAGTTTTTGCTCTCTGTCGTCTTTTCATCATTGGCAGGGGCGTGATGTGATATCTAATAAAATGTTCGGTCTCTGCTTTGTAGCCTCACATGTCTGCGTAGCAGCTACTCCAAGGGTTTTCCTAGTGTGCACAGTGCTCTACAGAACAATTCATTTAGACCTCACATAAAGCTTTGTGTAGGAGATGCCCCTCTCTGCTCATCATCAGCCAGCTCCCTGAACCTGAACCCAGACTATCATGAGGAAAACTAGATGATGTCAGCCTGAAAGGGTTGTCCTCAGGATCTGCTCTTACTCTGAGTACCAGCGAGTCTTGTAATGACAATAAACAGGGAGGCTGAATACATGCACCTATAACCTCTGACATCTAATGGATACAGGTTCACTAAAGCCACTATTGTGTTGTCTGAGACAAATTCTGGCCTTAGATCATTTGAGCTTGCCTTTTATGCAATATAAATATCTAACCTGTGTGACTTTATTTCCTCTGTGAAACTCAAAAGAATATATTTAAAAATAAAACGTCTCAGTGTTTTTTTTTTAATCTATAAAATTAAATTAGACCCCATTGACTCATTATATGGACAAAACCAGAAATATTCTTAAAAATATCTTGGTTTCTGCAGAAGAACTAAAGTCATGCCGGTTTGGAGCGTAAATGTTTCAAAAGCTGAACTGGGTATGTCAGAAAAGGATGACATCCAAAATGTGGAAATCTGTGGTCCTTCACAAATGCGAACCACTTGTGACAGGTAATAGCATTGTGAAACCAGCATGCCTAAAAAAAGAAACAAATATGTGTGTAAAAATCACTTTACCACCTAAGTGCTGACATTTACCAGCACCCCACTGTCCCCACTCACGGCCGTTGTGCTTCGTTCCAAGACACAATGGGAAACGGCAACAAAAGCACTGAAAGAATGCTTTAGAAAAGCATCACTAGAGATGCAGTGTACAACGGTTGCAAAAAGATGATATTCAGTGTATGTAGTCATTGACACAAAGAACAGAGCAAGACCTAGTGTTTGTGTCTCTGTCATTCTTGCCAAGGGCTTGTTTACATGTGCTTTATTTCCTCCACCATTATCTCAGTGTCCTCACTGTCTCTGCTCTCTGTGTCTGTAGGTACGTGGAGCGAAAGAACTTCCTAGAGCGAGTGGACCAGCAGCAGTTTGAGTTGGAGAAGAGTGTGCGTCTGAGCAACATGAAACGGTGACAAGAGAGCAGACATATTCACTGATCAAAACACAGACTGTCCCATATTCACACACACCCTCCATACACTCTCGGTTTTCCTTGTCACATAGGTGGAATTTTTTTCAGATCCCTGGCCTGTAGCTCCCCAAAACTGGACTGCCTTCACAATCGAATGTACAGCTGCCATATTGTCTTTTTCTTCTTCCGCTCTTCCTTTGTCCAATATTGCATGTCCACGTTTATCAGGGCTTTTTTAACATGAAAGAGGAACAACTCAAGATGTTTTTCTTCTCTAGGATTTCTTCTCTAGCAATTCCTCAAAAACCTCATTTTATAATTAACTGAGGTACATCAGGCACACCTAACCATTCAATAATAGTGCCATTAATGGGGAAAAAAACCTTGTTAAGATGCACAGATAAGGGATTTCATCTTAAACTGAATTATTTAGCATAATTCACATCTTTGTTCTGACAGTGAGGTTTTTCATAAATGTAAACGGCCAATATTGCACCCTATAGTGGTGGTTTTCTTTTACAGTATTTGATGGTAAAATGGAAGAGCACAGTTGCTTTTGTTTTTTCCATGTGTTCTTATTACTGTCTTGTGAATTTATTTTGTAAGAGTGGTTGTATGGTAATTACCCCATCATCATTTTAATCGTGTCTCACGGTTTGACAGAAATAAATCATGTTATTGGGTGTGGACACTTTCTTTTTAAATGAACTGTGTCTTGCTGTTAATTACTTTGACCTACTAATTAATGGCTCCACCTCATACGGCTTTCCTCTTCCCCATCCCTCTTTGCTAGCTTATGCCCCGCTTGTCTTCATACACACTTGAAGCTCCACCCCCACCACTTGTCTGTTTTTTTTTGTATTTAAAAAAAAAATACCATGTAGGAAAGGGATCAGCAGGGTTCAAGTCACGTATCTCTGAATCACTGTAGTGAGTCGTGCATGAATCCTTCCCCTTTTCAAAACTATAATAATCTGTGAGATATTTTTCTGACAGTGAAAGTCCTGTAGTCACAGAATTTTATCATTAAAAAAATGTGAGTGCTGCTTGACCGTATAAAAGGTGTTTTGAGGGGAATTTAGTGCATTGCTAAGCTGTTGCGATGGTGTTATGGGTGATTGCTCAACCCCAAAAGCGCATGCCTTAATCTTTATGATACTCTCATCTCTGATATGGCTCGGTGTCTTTTTTTTTTTCATTCAATGTCTATTTGATTTTTTCACTCATTTTATCATCCCCTAGCTAAAATGGTAAGTCATATAGCATAGAAAAGTAATAGCACACCTCTCTTGCATGATTTGAGACCGTACCACAAATGGGACAAGTTACATGCATTGATGCATCAGCAAGGATGCATTAAATTAATCAAAAGCTGCATTAAGAACATTTATAATCTGACAAAAGATTTCTATTTCAAATAAATACTGTTTTTTGTATCTTTCTATTCATCAAAGTATGGAAAAAAAAATGTATAATGGTTTCAACAAAAATATTAAGTAGTACAAATATTTTTGACATGAATAATACTAAGAAATGTTTCTTGAGCACCAAATCACCATATTAGAATGATTTCTGAAGGATCGAGTGGTACTAAAAACTGGAGTTATAGCTGCTGAAAATTCAGCTTATCACAGGAATAAATTACATTCAAATAGAAAATGGTTATTTTAAATAGTAATAATATTTCATAATATTAGTTTTTATTGCATTTTTGATCAAATATATGCAACCTTGGTAAGCATAAACGACTTTTAAAAACAAACACAAAATTGCATCGACCCCAAACTTTTGAATGATAGTGTAAATTATGAGCAATATCAGTAGTGCCATTTAATGATGTCAACGGTTATTATAATGGCTGTGTAAATATGTGACCCTGTCTGTGAAATCCAGGCTAAAGTCTCAAAATCTAATTATGAGATAACAAGCATCAAAGTTTGATTTCAACCATTAATTTCACTATGATTTCAATCTTTGACATGGCCTTACTCAGTCAATATTAAAGATATAAAGGTAATATTTTCACAGAATGTTCTACATATTTATGAAGGATGATTTTATGTAGAAAACAGTAAATCACAAAAAAGGCAAGGTCACATATATTATGTATATTTCAGACTAAATTGCAGTACTGTTTGTTTTTGATGTGTCAATTCTTAATTTGTTATTTTTCCTGAAAAACCATGTTGGGTCTTTTGATAGCATGGGCGGTAACTTGTTCATCCTTTCACTTGAAGATAATGGTCTTGTTTACATAATTCAGTCTTCCCTCTCCCTGTGCGTAGGCCTGTGTGGGCACAAAGTTTGTTTACTGCCATTTCCTGCTGCTCGACTACCATTTAGAAGGATGTTCGCATGCTCCGCGCATCTCTCCAGATTTCTGTAATGGCTGACCCCCACAGCAGTCCCCTGCCTCACTGCTGCATTGCTTATTTCCCAAATGGAGATGAGTAGCTGTTCTCTGCTCTGATGTTGTCCTGTGCAAACATCAGACTCTGCAGGTGGGAATTTGAATGATACTGGCATAATTCCCTCACTTAATCAATGTTCTCGAAGCTGAGCAGTGAGCACTGTGGGCTTTTTGTGTTTCACACCAATAAACTGGTACATTCTAGGCAGAAATAAATAAATGTGCCTACATGAGCATACAGAAACAATCATATCACAGAGTACATGTCATTTGCAGATTCTCCATGCATAGCTGTACTCTTAAAGAAACAGTTCACCCCAAAATGAAAATTGTCATTATTTACTCCTGCCTTTTCAAACGTGTTTAACTTTCTGTTTTGTGAAACCAAAAAGGTACATTTGTGAAGTACATCGTTGCCACTCTTTTCAGTATAATGAATGAGAATGTGAGCTGCAGAATTTCCAAAATGACAAAACGGCAACATAAGTTTACTAAAAAGAAAAAACCCTGATATTCACTTGAGTTCTCCTTGTGCTTCATGAAAGTATTCAGATTCATGAACAAGCTCTTTTCAGTCAGATCTATCCAATGAAATTGTGAACCAGTGAGCTCACAAAACCTGAAAGATTTCTTCACATGTTAGATTAGTTCTGTTGTTCCATGTTTAACTCGAATCTAGCAACGTTTTTTATATTTTCATTGTTAAACATTTGATTTACATTTATAATGCTATACTTTGCTTTCTTACCTTGGCGGGCCGGCTCCAGACAGCCCCAACAATAATAAAATAACATCAGAAAATTGCAGCATTTTTCTTTTATTAGCTGAATGCAAGGCACGCTGAATTCACGCGGCTTCAGTCTGTAGCAGAAAAGCAGAGGCATGACAACGAGCGAAGATGTGGAGTTTGCGAGTTACGGGGAGTTTAATAGGCTACATGAATATGTATCATAGCCTACCACTGAAATAACCTGAGCAATTTTAATGTTATTAAAAACCCACTCACTCAGTAACGTGCATTCATTGCATGGACGGGGCAAGACTATGTCTAAAATGCATGTACGCTATACAGTTCAGTTGAAAGTTTACCCCTTTTGGCTTGCTGTTAATGCTGAATGTAAAAATGAAAACTTAAAGTAAAGAGCTTGTGCGACGAAAGTTGCGTTCGTTACTATAGCAACCAGTCGGCTCGACTGAGAAACGTAGCCTTCCACTTCTATGACGTAAACGACCAGTGATGCAAACTATTCGACTTTTTATGTCAAATTCCGCAGTTTTGAATAGAAAGTAGGTCTGTCATTTACGTGATTCATGTAGCCTAATTCATAATTGATTATGACAATAGCATTTTTCTGTTTTGCGTTTTCAACAATACAACTGAAATTGAATGGGTGCATATTTTAAAATAAAAATATTATTTGCAGTTCAGATTGATTAGCCTACTTTACAAAAATTCTTATTATTGTTCTTGTTCTTTTACTGTTCTGTTTTCTTATTTTAATTGATTCCCCTAAATCCATTTAAATCCTTTATTTATTTAGTTTCTTTAAATAAGTACCATTACCATAGAGGTCTGGTCTTTATATTTTCCTCAAAATAATTGGTCGATATGATGACTAAAAAATGCCCACCCAGGATATCTGCCAGCCCACCCTTCTATAGCCATCAAGAACCGGGCCTGTACCTTGGCATTAAATTACATAAAACTACTTCTCGCTACTGTGTGATTGTTTCTAATATAATGGAAAATTTGACTTCACACCCACACATTTTTATTTTATTTTGCTTTTGGGGCAAATGAAGACAAAAAATATATTTGTTGTATAGTTTCCATTCACCACTATAGAAGTTTACCCAAATATGACGACTTCTGTTTCTGAGAAGCCCAGAAATGTGAAAAGGGTCCTTTTGCAATAGTTAACAGCTCACTGAATAATCAATGAATGATGAATTAATATTTAGTCTGTTCCTCACACTTAAGAAGACTTGTAATATAAGCATATGAGTTGTATAAATGCAGATTTTTATATTTTTTGTGTCCTTTTTGAAGCTTAAAAAAGTCCCTGGTTTAGACCAGCGTGAGGGTGAGTATGATGACTGAATTTACATTTTTGAGTGAACTAATCCTTTAAACATGCACGTAATGCATTTCACCCTTTCCATGTGAAGGCATAGTGGGAGTATAGTGAGGTAGCCACACTCATTTTTATTCATGTCCTCCCCCGTCCACTCAAAGTCGATGGTAAGTGTGTGGTATTCAGGAGTGGAGAGGAGCCTGTCGCCCTCATCTTTATTCAAATGCACCTGTCCTCTCCTGATTTTACTTTCTCTCTTGGGTCTGAACACTGCTGTTGGCTCCTAAATAATGCCTTCATCCCTTTCCTTCTGTCACTTTTTCAATTTTTCTATCGCTTTCATCTTGCATTACGCTTAGATGTGTTGATGACATGAGTCTGATTTTCCCTTTGCAATTGTCTCTGCCATTATCATTAACTTTGACTTCCACTTCACAAGACTTTTTTCCTTTCCTGCCATTCTATACTTGCATTTCCCCTCTCTATTTCTTGAGTGATTTCACAGTAGTAACAAACTGTCGGTTATTAATATTACTTAGAATGCATTATGTATAGAGTCAGACAAGCAGGCCAAAATAGATCTGATCCAATGCATCCACTGATCCAACACTGTGATAGAGGTGTAGACCCTTAGCAGTGTCCTATATAAAAAGACATCTCTGGAGCAACAGGGCCTTAGGTGTCTACTCGGAATTTCTGTAGCGTATATATATAGCACAAACTTCACCTCCAGGCATGTGTATCTGTCTGTCACCAAGTGCATGAATTCAAACAGGGGCAGAAACCTTAAAAATAGACAGCACTGTTGAGAGCACAATTATAAACAATCACTGTGATGAGAACCTAAAATAACAGCTGACTAAAATGTTCCAAATGCCTCTTACCTCCAGGTCGCCAGAGTTAAGGGGAGCTTTAAAGGACTCCTGGCTATTTACTACTCCCTATGTGTAAGCCACAATAAAATGATTTCCTTCTAAATGTTTATAGTGCATTGCCTGTTGAACTATATGGGTTGCTTTTAAGGTTAGTACAATGTGCTGCACTTTTTATGGCACATTTGCGAAAACACTTGTACCGTTATAAACATTCTTGTCTTTTTGGAATCACTTTCTGGAGTGATTTTGCAGAAAAATCAGTCGAAACTTGCAGAATGGAATTAAATATGGGTAGAATGTGTTAAAAAGAGCTGAGACTACCGCAGTGGTACCTGAAAGCATGATTAAATTACCTAAAATATTTAATAAACATGCGGAGGTGTCAGATGTACAGTATAGAACTTGATTAATGAGGGGTGTTCCAAATCTGTTCTGCCCACACAGATTCCGTACGGGCCGGCTCAGTGGCTAATATCCAATTGCAGACCACAAGAGAGTTTTTTTTTCTTCCCATCTTTGCAGTAAATTCAGCCTTGTAACAGTGGACTTGTTTGGCAGCCCACCAAAAAGATTTCCTTCTGAAGGTCTTCTTTCCTGTATTTCAGCCCTTTCAACATTAGCCAATGTTGGCAGATGAAGGGAGGGAGTGCCATGACACCAATTTAACAGACATTTGAAGATAAGAAGAGGACCTTTGACTTCTTTCACGCAGCTGCCCTGAATAATTAAAAGCCATTCACAGTGCTCATGGCATAGCTGTCAGTGAGAGCGTTGGGAATGATACTGCTTGTAAACTAATTGTCCTTCACAACACATATTTCTATCTGCTGTCTGACAAATAACGCACAGTTTTTTCCTTAAAGGGAATTTCATCAAAGATGAGAGGCTGGCTGTATTATCGCTGATTTTTAGTGTTAAATGTAAACCTTTTTTAAAGACGTGCTTAATCTTTCGTAGTAACCCCAACCCCAGAATATCGTCCAGCATCAGCTAGTTTGAAAGGCCAAACATTTTGTTGGTATCAGCATCTTTTGGCCAATCTGTGTTATTAAAGGTTTTTCTTTCAAAGTCAAATGCTAGAATGTTTGCAGCCAGTTTCATCATGTTAATGGGTAATTACTACTTTTTATACTAAATATATACTATATATTTTTGTTATCAAGGAGATTGTTTCTCTGCAGATATGGTAGTTTCCAAGCTATGTTCAGCAAATAACTCAGGATGCCATAAAAACTAGAAATCGGTAATTAAGTTTAAAAGAGAATTTAACATAATTAGTTATTTTTAAACCAAATAGTCTACATCATCCATTGCTATGATGTGGAGTGAAAATATAGTTTGTTATTGTTTCTTGTGTTTTGCTTAGTTTTGCTTATTGAATTGATATCCGTCAAGATGTTATTTGATTGCTAAAAGGAGCATCTTAAGGGGTTTGTTAAATGCACCTGTTACCTTTAACATAATTGAAAACTGGGTATGCAGCCACAACACCTTTTGGGGTGTTTCCATATTGTAGATTTTTAAATAATTAAAGTGTTCGGTGAATGTATTTCCTAGTGCCTAGTGTATTTTAAAGCAATGAATAATACATCTTTAGTGTAAAGCCTCAGTCACACAGTCAGTGACTTAAGCAACAGTGGCCTGAACTCATTCATTTTCATTAAGAGCTGGAGACTTCCACAACATGAGTGACTGTTGGTGACTATATGTGGGCATGTCCAGTGAACTGACAAATCTGAAAAAATATTTATGCAAATATGGAGTGACTTAAAGACAGTAAAGCCCACGTAAACCTGCCAGCTACTGTGTTGGAGCAGGATGACTGATTTTGTCTGTTAAGATGTAATGACATATCAACGAATCACAGGTTTCTTTGTCGCTGACAGTGTGAATGGGGCTTTCAGAACATTTCTGACATTTTCCATTTGACACAAAGTTACCACATTTTTTTATTATAGCAACAATAAAGGGCTCTTCACATTGACAGCGATTTGAGTGACAAAGCATCATTCATTGAATTTGTCAATAGACAAATTTCGATCCAACTTTGCATCAAAATTCTAATTATCATTTCCTCTGCCTGGTATGCTCAATGAATTAATGACTAAAGCCAAAAGTTTACTTGCATGACACAAACATGCATATAGCCAAATTCATAGTCTTTCATTCCACACATGCACACTATAAAAGTTTTATCCTTTTCTAGTGTTTTCACTATTTCTCAGCAGAACATAATTGCTCGTCAATGTGGGCGTCTATTGTTGTTGCATCTACAGTTGTTTATCCTTGTTGTTCCGTCTCCTATATCTATTTTCAACTGTGAAACAAGGGCACAGGCCTGTGTTGCCGCTTTGTGCACCAACTGTTTAGTGCAAAAAATAAATAATTCAAGGCCCATACTGATTGTGAAATTTACATCATGCGCACTGTAAATATACTAGTTTGGGTTTGAATATGAACAGATTTTTGTCTTTAATTGAATTATGGTTGCCAAGTATTCTCTACTATACTTCCACGAAATATTTTTGTAAGGCACAGATATTCTTTTTGCAGTGAGAGGGAAAAATAAAACCGTATAAAGACAGTATAAAAACATTAAATAGCACAGTAGCACGAGACTGGCATAAACGCATCGAATGTAAACACCGTTAACAGCGTATAATATAAACCATGCCGTGTTCATCCACACAGAGGTAACAGGAGACTATCCCTTTAAACAGAACTTGACGATTCCATCATAGGGAGAGAGAGAGCGAGCGAGCGAGCAGCGTGCTGGTTCGCTGTGCTGTGAAGTGTCAGTGTACGCCACCGCAGTACAGACAAACAGAAGCCAGGTCATTCCTTACTGTACGGAGGAAGAAAAACACGAGTGAAGAACAGAAGCGTTTTAATTCAAACACAGCCATATTATTAGTAGCCCAACTGCAGCTCTCTGCCTCTGGAGAGGAGGACTGAAACCCGTGCGAGGTGGAGCGGAGACACATCTGAAACATTCACATCAAACTTCTCACCCCATCGAGACCCGGATTGCACCCTTACTACAGACAACATGGAATAGAAGGACTCTGAGAGAAGCCTAACAATACAAATTGATGTTTTCTGCTGAAAACCCGTTAGAGGGGAAGAAACTGGTCCGTTAATATCAGCATCAGCTTTGTAGTGGATTGAAAGAAGGAACTCAAGATGTCTGTACCGGTAAGTTCTTCAATGTAACCGCTGAAATGATTCATCGCGACGTTTAAAAGTTACGGAACTGCTTGATAGTAACCTGCATGCGTTGTGCTGGACGCCCAGATGTTGGTCTGAAAGAATAGGCTGTTTGCTCGGTATTGCTGTGGTGATGCACACTGGTCATTTAGTATAAAGCAGCTGTTCGGGACGGTAGTGGAACTGAATTTTTGTAGTTCCCTCAAGACAATACACGAGCTGTGTGTCAAAACCTAGTGAGCTGTCTACCTAGACAGCGTTTTTGGGCGTCTTGGCACGTTCCAAGGATGCTCGAAATGGTGCGCGTGCCAATGATGCCCAAAAAATGCGTTATATATAGGCAGCTCAAAAGGTTGAGAGCTGAAGTACAAAAAATAAGCGCACAAATAAGATGCAGAATTTCCTCATGACAGGTTACCATACTAAACATTTCACGTTTCTGTTGGCTTAAGGTATTTTTTATTGGCTTCCACAATAAATAAATAAAAAAAAACGAAAAATCAAAAGCATTTTTTTTTATAACAAATTTTTTATTTTTTTGTAAAAAGTGTTACATTGCTTTATGATTAACCCATTATGTGAAGCACCTTATGACCTTTTACCTTTGGCCTTTCAGCTTGTTGCTGCTTTAGATTAATTATTATTATACTTTTTTTTTTTGTGGATCAATTAACCAAATTTGACATTTTCTAAGATTTGGTCATGTTTTATATGTCTGTGTGCAATGGCCTCATAGGGCAAAAGGCCCCTTGAAAGTAATATTCTCTTGCAGCATTTCATAAATATCTATAGCAATGGATTTTTTTTCGATGGATGCGCAAAGTGGGACAGTTTCTGTCACAAATTTTGTTACCTGTGTTAACGTGGTACGGTAATCAAGAATTGATAAATATTACTAATACTGTGCAATGTGCATATTAACAAGTAAACATGGTTGACCCTGAAGAAAAATCTGTTCTTGCACCATGGACCTGTTTCTTCCAAAAGATTCCCAGCTCAGAGCTCTTCATCGAGTCTCAACCTGTGAGACCTGTGTTCCGCCTCCCTACTGCTTTTGGCATCTCATTTCGACATACTGCAACACGATTTAATGTTTGCCCTCGCTGGCTGAAGTTAAGTAGAAGAAGTCAGTGGATTGCTAATACAGGGCTGTGGAGGATGCGCAGCTCTGCAAAACATCATTGCGGATTCCTGTGGGAGGAATGAGGTTAATTTGCATGTCTTGGCAGCTTACCTATATATTTTCCCACTGCTGTTTTTAGGAGAACTAGCATATTGATGATGTTATGAATAAATAATAAAATCATTTCTTCTCTTTGCATCCATTTGAGGAAATGGTCTCGGAAGGCCACCTCGGTGGTCTGTGCCTTGTTCAGTTTAACTCTTTAAGATAATGCTCAGTTCCAGTGACAAAGAATGGTGTATGTTCAGATTCAGTATCGCATGAGTACCCATGTCCCACGCCATTTTCAACAAACAGAAGCCAGATTGCTGTTGCCCGGGGTGATCGAGCTTGATCGCAGCAGCTGTTCTACCACAAAGATGAGAGTATGGTTTGCTTGTCTTGTGCCTCGTTTCCACAAAACCGGTGTGATTCCGTTTACCTGAGACCAACAGATGTCACCAAGAAGTGAAAAATAAACAAGTGTAATGGCTAAAGCACTTTAATGTAGTGTTTGCAGCTTGTTTGCATCAGTAGGAAACCTGCAGGAGTGTCAGGATTGCAACCCACATTGGTTTATTTATTAGGTCTGGGTTTTAATCCAAACTTTCTGATTTGTTTTAAATTTGATTCTCCTTTCGATTCAGATCAGTTTGGGCATATTTCAGTTAATAGTATCCATTCTGCTTGCACAGAAAATAAATTTCATATGGGAACCTCCTAACTTGGTATATTACGAAAATCTTAATATTTTATCCAACTATGCAGTTCATTTGATATTTAACAAATATTATAATCACCAAAAACTCATCTGTGGATAGTGTAAGTATTTCTTGTTTAAAACATTTCTTATAACATTATGCAAAATTAATAAAAATAATATATTTTGGCTCAAACCTCAGTTATAAACTCAAGAAAAATGTGATTGCCTGCTATTATTTAGCAGTATACAACATTTTAATCTTATCACATACATTTGGACTTCGAACACAGGTAAAATATTAATTTATTTTTTTCCCTAGCCATATTATTCATGCTGTCATATTTTTCAGTCAGAAAATCAACGTAGAAACAGTGTTATTTTAGTATTAATTATATACTACTGTAGTTTTTATTAATATTTTGAATGAACTTTTTAAAGTTTTAGTCATTCTTTTATGTGATTTTGTCATTATTTTTTTTTTTTATATATATCTATATAGCTTTATTTTTATTCCAGTGTAAGGTTTAGTAATTTTAGTATTTAATAATTGTTTTAATTCAAAAGTTTAAGTTCAATTTTGTCATCTAATATTTATATTTTATTTTATTTTATTTCTGTTTTATTTCATTTCACAAATATGATTTGTAATAGTTTTAGTTTTGGTAAACAATATGAAGACACTGCCCCACTGACGCTTTACCAACATATGTCCAGACTTGCATATCTAGTAAGTAAAAAAATAGTAAAGTGACGTGACGTGTGGCCAAGTATGGTGACCCATACTCGGAATTAGTGCTGTGCATTTAACCCATCCAAAGTGCACACACACAGCAGTGAACACACACACACCGTGAACACACACCCGGAGCAGTGGGCAGCCATTTTTGCTGCGGCGCCCGGGGAGCAGTTGGGGGTTCGGTGCCTTGCTCAAGGGCACCTCAGTCGTGGTATTGAAGGTGGAGAGAGCGCTGTGCATTCACTCCCCCCACCTACAATACCTGCCGGTACGAGACTCGAACCCGCAACCTGAATGTATCTCCATACATTTTCACTTGAATTCTGCAAGCGTGTATGGATGCATGCATACTTCCTTTGATACATAAGTTTGAGTTCTACACATGCTCTGCTTCATACATATTGATGGGTATTAATGTTTGGCTGTTAACGTCATTTGCCTCGGCTTCAGATCTTTATCTCGTCCCCTGGACAGCTCCCAGAGTGCGTGCACTTATTCCCCCCCACCGTCCCTCGGAGTTTCACCACAAGAGGTTAAATGCGAAGCCAGCAGGGAACGAGCTTGCTAGATCACTCTCAGACGCCCGACATTTGGTGCTTGTCATAGATGATACTCCACATACATATTAATAATGTTGGCTTAGGTGAGTTGTTGCATTTCAATCGCCCAATAAAGACCTTTTGCTATTTGTATGCGTTGCCCTGGCAACTAGAGGCCACCAGCCTTCCACATATGAGTTTCATTGGCTCATAGTAACTCATAGTAAACAGCGTATAATGCTACACATGCCATGCATGAACAAGCACGACTCCAAAGATGAATTGCGACATGCACTTGTGAATACGTCTGAATTCCTGTCTGAAATCACACTATTCATGCTTGTCCTTGCATAGTAAGTGTCTCATCTCATAGACATTCTTTCCTTCACGCAGTCACACATCAGCGGCCCCTGCTTTGCCACTCCCGGCAGGCATCTTTATCCATTTTTAGTGATTAAGGATGGCCATTTTTTGCTCAAATACACACACTCTCACACTGGATGCATCTTAATCCAGAGAACAGCTGACACGCTCATTAGTTTATTGCTTGTCAGCTCAAGAGAAAAATAGGAATGTTAGAAGCAGCTGCAGGTGAACATATGATGAATATGAATGTAAATATTAATGTTTATGTCACCTCAGGAGTCTTTTGACAAACAGCTCTTCATATTCATCTGATTTAAATACCATTCACATTAGTATGCAGTATATGTGTATATGTGTGAATATTCTTCATTCTCGTTTATGTCTTGGTACATTGCACACATTTGTTTGCATAAGAATACAAATGAAGGGAAAATTGTGTTGTGTTATAGGCTGTGTGTGTGTGTGTGTGTTTTCAGCAGGATGTTGTCTGTAGTATGGAGAGTTGTATGTAAAGCATGAAAATTGAATTACCTTGGACAGCGCTCACATTCTTCAGCTGAACTTTATTGGTCACAGATGCTGGCATTAATGTGCATATTTCTGTAAGCACTGAACAAAAGTCTATCTATCTATCTATCTATCTATCTATCTATCTGTCCGTCCGTCCGTCCGTCTGTCTAATCTGTCTGTCTATTGTTTTTCATTCTATCAGTCTATCTATTGTTCTGTCATTCTATTGTTTGTTCTGTCATTCTGTCTTTCTATCATCCTAATGTTCGGTCGTTCATCTATCTATCTATCTATCTATCTATCTATCTATCTATCTATCTATCTATCTGTCCGTCCGTCCGTCCGTCTGTCTAATCTGTCTGTCTATTGTTTTTCATTCTATCAGTCTATCTATTGTTCTGTCATTCTATTGTTTGTTCTGTCATTCTGTCTTTCTATCATCCTAATGTTCGGTCGTTCTATCATTCTTTGTCGTTCTGTCTTTCTGTTGTTCTATCTATCTTTCTGTTGTCTTTTCTGTTTTTCTGTCGTTCCTTCTTATTGTATCATTCATTTGTTGTTTGTTCTATTTATCTGACATTGTTGTCATTCTGTCATTTTCTCTGTCTATAAAGGCTATAGACCTTCAAACTTCAATACTTTGTCAATCCAGTATTGGTTTTCATTTACTATGCTAATTAAAAATTACAGTAATAATAATTTTTTAAAACTCATTTTCTTTCTACTTCATTGCATTTAAATTTAAATTGGATTTTTTCATTGGATTTGATACCTCAGTTCAATTTAATTTACGATTCAGGAATATAATTGAAATTTCTTTGAATATTATTGAAAGTCATTCTCTATTCATTTCTGATCATTCTCTATTCAGTTATGTTTATGAGCACAAAAACTGTATATTCACATGATGGAGTAAAGCATGTGTCTGTCTGATATAGTGTAGGAAAAGAATGCAGTGTATAGAATTTGTGG